GGAAAATCCCCACTTCGTCACTGTGGGGTGAGGTAGTGGACGGTGTGGTTTGTGTGGGGTTATGTGGGGGGCTGGAGGACACAGTGGGCGTGTGGGGGGGCTAGGTGGGGTGCTGCAGGGCGGGGGGGTTGGTGGGGTGGTTTGTGGGGGGCCGAAGGGCGCACGGCGGGGGTGGTGGGGCACGGGGCGGGGGATAAGTGGGGGGCTGGGCGGGGGGGTTGACTGCCCAGTCTCTGACCTCCTGCTCCCCCCAGGGCGTGGTTCCTTACCTCGGCACCTTCCTGCGAGACCTGGTGATGCTGGACACAGCCATGAAGGATGAGCTGGAGGTGAGACCAGGGGGTGGGGGGTGATCCAGGACCCAGTTAGGGTTGAGGGCCAGGCTTGGGGGGGAGGGGCTGGGGGGCCAGGCATGAGGAGGGTTGGGGACAGCCAGGGAGTGGGGCTGTGGGGGGGCATGTGTGCCATGTGGGGGCCAGGCAAGGAGGCAGTGGGGAGCTGGGGAGGGTAATGGGGAGCGATGGGGGCCAGGCAGCGAGGGACAGGGGAGCAGTGAGGAGCTGGGTGGGTGATGGGGGGCCAGGCAGCGGGGGGCAGGGCAGCAATGGGGGGGCCAGGAATGTGGGGGGGTCGGTTGCGGGACTCATGGCACCTCTCATTTCTCTGGCAGAACGGATACATCAACTTCGAGAAGCGGCGCAAGGTACCAGGCTGTGCCGGGGCTGCTGGGCTCCCTCCGCGTCTGGCTTGGGGCTCCCCTCTGTTGCTCTCTGCCCCCCCTGGTACAGCTCCCCCTCTCACTGTCTGCCCCCCCGGTACAGGTCCCCCAGGCTCTCTAAGCTTCCCCCCCCGTACAGCCCCCTGTGCTCTCTGCTTGGTCCCCCCTGTCCTCCCCCCGCTGGTTACAGGCCCTGGGACCCCCCTTCCACCTCACAGTATAGTCCCCCACGCTCTCTGTGCTGCCCCCGGTATAGCACCCCCCCCCCGCTCTGTCCCTGCTGTCCTGTCATAGCCCTGCTGACGGCAGTGCCCCCATGTAACTGCCCCCCCTCTGCCCCCAGGAGTTCGAGGTTCTGGCCCAGCTGCGTCTCCTGCAGTCCGTGTGCCGCAACTACAGTGTCCAGCCCAGCCCCCCCTTCCAGCGCTGGCTGCGGGCGCTGCCCCCCCTCTCTGAGGCACAGAGGTAGCGAGGGGGGGAGGAGCGCCCCTGTGGATGGGTGCGGGGGGGAGATGGTGCTTGTAGGAGCTGCGTGAAGTGGGATGCTGCATGTAGGGGATTGTGTTTGCATGTAGGGTTGTGTAGAGTGTGGTGTGGGGGGGTTTGGGGGAGGCATTGTGTGTGTTGCATGGGGGGAT